GATGTTTAAGGAAATTCTTCCTCTAGAACTTAGGTCTGCAAACCTACAGCCTCTAGGCCAGCTTCAGCCCACTTCTTGCTTTCATACTGCTTTAACTCAGTGAGTAGGGCTTAAAATATTTTTTCCATTTTTTTGTTTGTTTTTTTGAGACAGAGTTTTACTATGTAGCCCTCAGTAGAGTGCTATGGGATCACAGCTCACAGCAACCTCAAACTCCTGGGCTTAAGTGATTCTCTTGCCTCAGCCTCTCAAGTAGTTGGGACTACAGGTACCCTCCACAATATCCAGCTATTTTTTGTTGCATTTTTCATTGTTGTTTAGCTGGTCCAGGCTGAGTTTGAACCTGCCAGCCTCAGGGAATGTGGCTGGCGCTGTAACCACTGTGCTACTGGAGCCAAGCCCCTCCCCCCTCTTATAAGAATGTCAGTAATATGGTGTTCAGGACTCACTTTAATTCAGTGAGTGACCTCATCTTAATGTAAGTAACCACATCTTTGATAATCTTATTTCCAAGTAATATTATATTTCAAGGTACCACGGATTAGAACTTCAATATATCTTGTGGGTAGACATAATTCAATCTTATTTCCAAGTAAGATTATATTCCAAGGTACCATGGATTAGAACTTCAATATATCTTTTGGGTAGACATAATTCAATTTAGTAATTTAAATCATTAAATGACAAGCATCTATCCAGTGCTTGTCATTATTCACAGGAATCTGACCTCCCACATGCCCCAACCTCCCATACTCACTAGACTGTGGGTTCTTTGAACATTGTACCTTAATTCCACATAGTTTATTAAGTCTATTATGAACTATGCTCTGTTCTGGGCACTGAGGACAACTGACACTCAAGGTCCTTACCCTTGATAGAATATCTATTCCACATGGAAGCAGATCGTAAAAAGTGGCCATTCAGTGTGGAAGCCACATGCTAAGAGTGTGTGTGTGTCTGGATACACACACACATGTGCAAGAGTTCACCCTTATCCAGTTTTGCTTTCTGAGGTTTCAGTTAGTCATGGCTAAGGTCCAAATATATTACATGGAAAATTCCAGAAATAAAAATTTCTAAGATTTAAATGGCACTCTATTCTGTTCTGAGCAGCATGATGAAATCTTCCTCAGTCCCAGCTCTATACTGCCCAGGACATAAATCCTTCGTCTCAGAGATCCACACTTTCTGCCACCTGCCTGTTACTCACTGAACAGCCATCCTGGTTACTAGATCCACAGGATCACAGTGCATCTGTTCATGTCACACTGACGTGACTGCACAACAGCCTGGAAGTGCAAGGCTATGATGGTTGCAATTAAAATATGCAAAAAAAAATAATAACAAAACTGTGAACTATTTCCTTGAAGTGAAAAGGTCAAAGTGTTTTACTTAATAAGGAAAGGGGGAAAAAAATCATACATTGAGCTCGGTAATATCTACAGTAAGAACAAATCTTATATCTATGAAATTGTGAAGAAGGAAAATATTCATGCCGGTTTTGCTGTCCTATCTCAAATTACAAAAGTTACAACCACAGTGCCTGGTAAGTGCTTAGAGAAGATAGAAAAGGCATTAAACTTGTGGCAAAAGACATATACAGAGACATGTTCTATTGATGGTGATCAAGTCTGGGACTCTCTGGAGTTTCAGGCATCCCCTGGAGATCTGGGAACAAGTCCCCAAGAATAGGGGTGGTGACTGTACGTGCATATACAGTCACTTAATATATATTTGATGAAGGGATATTAGCTGGAACAGTAAAAAAAAAAAAAGGATAAATTATTTCATTTAAATGGAATAATTTAAATCATTAAATGACAAGCATCTATCCAGGGCTTGTCATTATTTAACAGAATCTAAAACTTAGGATTCTCTGGGACCCTTGTAAAACTTTGTTCTCTGGTACGTGAATCCTTACTCTCAGTGGACCTCCCCCTACAACTCAGGTCCCCAAATAATACTTCAGAGTATCACCAGATAAAGCTTGTAAAATGTATTTTTTAAATTATTTTTGTTCAATTCAAACTTGCATCTAAAGAAAAACACGTTTGCATTTGTTTGCCTTTCAGGGCAGCGTCAGCACCTCTCAGTCCGCATTTGTCCAGCTGCCAGGTGAGCCCTTTAATTCAATAGGTAATTATTCTCTTTGGAGTTTCAATCAAACACGTGGGCTTCCATTCTTTTATGACTTCCTTACACCAGTTTTAAAACTCTGCCCCTTTAAAATAGTTATTTTTAAAATACAAGATCAGTGAAGACAGACCTCAGCCAGTCACCGGTGCATTTAGGATTTATTATGTCTCCATGGCAGTCTTTTGATCCCTTGCCTAGCAGAAGCTTTTGGGGCAAAGGGAATAGCAATTAGGCCCTGGGTACAGTTTTAAAATGTCTAAAGTTCTGACACCACGATCTGATAGATGATGCACCTGCTTCAAAACAGGAAGAGAAAGGGACCCAAGGGCAGAAGGGAAAACTATTATTTACTGGGTGCTCTCTACATGGCAGTTACCTAGTTCAGCAGTTTGGATTCACTTCAGCACATGCAGCTCATTAAATACTCCCGTAGGGGTAGACAGGGGACATTGTTAGATTAGTGCTGGGCACCCTTCACGCACACAATCCCTTCCAGATCTCAAACTCAGAAGTGACACCGTCCTTCTCAATGGTTGTGTGGCCTTCGGAGCTGGATAAGGGGAAGGAATAAGAGCATCTAACACATATAAAGTCTCTGTATTGTGTTTCCCAATCGTATTTATGCTCACTGGAATTTGGTTTAATCTTCTCTCTTTTACAGAATAAAAGCACTGCAGCTTCTCTTTCCGTCTAGAATCATTCTTCCTCTTTTTAAGTAGGAAAAAAAATGATGCCTATGAGAGTGGAGTTTTTTTTTGTTTTTTTTTTTATCTCCATGACTGTTTTTATTTGGAAATTAGGAATGTAGGCATGAAAGTCTGGAAGCCTTATTTACACCTTGTTAGTGTTCACTGTTCCCATAGCTATAACTTCATGGTATGAAACAGAACCTTGTTTATGGATATTAATTTTCACTTGCATAGATTTTTTTCAGGAAAGTATGCTGATAATGAAAACCCCTAACTGCAGCCTTAAAATGCACGAGCAAATGAAAAGCTGGGGGGTTATAGAATTTAAGATGAAAGTGGAGTGAGAAGAATCATGCTATGAGTTTGGATGGCAATTTTTTTTATTTCTGATGAATAAATGTACTCGTTATTGTTGATGTTATACTACCAGATATACCGAAAGTGTGTAAGAAATGAGGTCTGCGGAGTTTGCAGATCGACCGGAAGATCGTGCAATCAGGTGAAAAAATAATGAGCGTAACATGTGGAAAGAACCAGAGCTCTGTGTATATAGAGACAGAAGCTCAGAACTGGCCCTGTGGTTGGGAGATGAGCATTTGAACCTTCTCCCCGGCTCAGCCCTTTTGCGACTTCGGGGCTTTGGTCCCAGCCAATTAGACCACGCCCACCAGCCGCTGGAATAATTAAATCATCAGTCACGCAGACCTTGAGTCTATGCCCCAGCATATGTTCTAAATGATTGTGTATTTCCTGCTGCAAACGAGCTACGGGGTCAGCAAGTGTTTCACAAACACATCTCTTTCCTTCTGGAACCACTGCACTGGCCTGACCGTTAGTGAGAGTCCTGTCAGTTCCAGCATTTCTCCCGGTTTCTGCCCTGGGAAATTTTATGTGCCCTTTACTCGCTTCCTAAACTTGCAGCCCTGGTGAGCTGAGCAAAGGATTCCATATGGCCACAAGAGGGCGGCAAATAACACCAAACTCCCAGCCCAGACTCGCAGGTTCTCTGAAATTGCTTCTGCGCTGCGGTTATCACCCCAAAGCAAGCGGTCTAGCGCTGCCTGCTAGGCTAGAGAGGTGGAGTGCAAAGTCGGTATACGAAGAATTAGGAGACAGAGTGCAACCTGCCTCTGATTTGAGGTAGGTTTATATGTATCGCCTTGTCTAAAAACATTCCGTCCCAGATAACAAGGCCAGAAGCAACGTCTTGCTCATCGTCCTTGTATGTATAAGGTTGTAAGTAGCTCAGAAGCTGAGAAGATGCTTCACTCATTAAAATGGGAATGCCAATGGATTCTTTTTATTTATCCCTTGAAGCCCAGCCTCTTTTTAGCACTGCGCTGGGCGCCTGAAAGATACACTGTAACTGTGAGTGAATGAACAGTTGTACTGTCTAAAATAAACTCGTCACTAAAGGCAGAGTGAACTCCAGACACATTAGTTATTTAGACTGGAACAGCTAAAAGAGCTAATGCAAAAATATTTCATGCTTTTCAGAACATTCATCTATTCCACGCTAGTGCTGGTGTCAGGCACGCATTAGAAACCTCCTTTCCCAGGCCGAGAGACTTACCTGCAACGCAAGCCTTGACCTTCCCTGGAGAAATTTTTGCTCATGTGTTTTTTTATTTGGCTACAGGCTCACCGGTCATGTCCGGTTACTATGGTGTCAGAAGATCTTTCCTATCTGACTCAGACTTCCACAACAGTAAACAGTTTTCAAATGACGTCTACTCCTCCAGCGTGGCGAAGCCCTTTCCCTGCGAGCCTTCGGCTGGGCAGAGCCATGCGGCCCTCCTGGAGTCCTACTTCCCGGAGCCCTACGGAGACCACCGCCCGCCTGCGCTGGCACCCAACACTGGCTCGCTGTTCAGTGCCTCGCCCCTGCCACCTCTGCTGCCGCCACCCTTCCCCAGCGACCCGGCTCACTACGTGTTTGTGAGTACTCAGTCTCGGGGTGGGGAGTCTGGCCCCAAGCCCCATGCTTGGCAACCAGGTTGAAGCTCACCCTGCAGACCCGAGGCTGCTTCCCAGCTGCCCTGAAGTTGCCAAGACAGACCGGCTCTGCCAGGGAGCCTTGCTCAAAAGACCCCTGTTAACTGTCACGGCAAGAGCATCTATCCAGGGCTTGGAACTGGGAGGACAATGAGGCAGGATTTCGGCCCATTTTGCTAATGCTCTGCTGGGTTTGCTGGGTGTTCCCCAACCTGATTAGTGCAGGACATAATCATTCCTGAAACGGGTGGGGAAAGATCAGTGGAGCTGCATCTTAGACGTGGCTAGTGGGGATCTCCCAAGGCAGGTGCGTGGGGTTGCCCTTTCTTTCCAAGTCCCCGGCCTCTCCTTCCCCACAATATTCCTACCCTGTACAGCGGTTCTCAACCTTCCTAATGCCTCCTGATGCCATGACCCTTTAATACAGTTCCTCCTGTTGTGGTGACTCCCAACCATACAATTATTTTCATTGCTACTTCGTAACTGTAATTTTGCTACTGTTATGAATCATAATGTAAATACCTGATATGCAGGATGTATTTTAATTGTTATAAAGGGGTCACGACCCACAGGTTGAGAACCACTGCTGTAGCACCTTGTTCTTGCTCAATCCTTCCAAACAGGTCAGTTTGAAAAGATCTGAAAAATGCTAATATTCTTGGTATAGAAAACTGTAAAGCCTTCCACTGTAAAAGAATGAATCTGTAAAGCTAGTATTTTAAACAAAAGGAAGGGGTGGGAATGAACCCCTAATATATGCCATGAACTCTTTTGTGCTTTTGTTCATTTAATACTTGGAACAACTCAGATTATATTTATGAAAGCCCATTTTACAGATGAACAAAGTGAGGGCTCAGAGTCTGGAAGGTAGTTGAGTGTCACAGACATGAATGAACCCAAATCTTTCCAGCTCCAAGCCTGTGAGATTCCTATCTCTTTGTTCCCTGAGGGTTGGGTGGGCTTCCTAACCCACTCAAAAACTCACCAGGGAGCTGGAAGCCTACTCCATTCCAGGAGTGGGCCAGGAAGTGACCTTGCCCCCTGTATGAAGGATATTCTAGGACCCAGAGTAATGACAGACTCAGCAGCACTGGAAATGGTGCGATGCTGTGTAGGTCTGGTTTCATTATTCTCACCTTTAATTCCTTTAATGTCATTTTCTGGGGAAAGAAATCTCCATAGATATAGGAAAGCTAATTCCAGAGTAGGGAGGAGCTAAATTTCGCTGCTGGTGCCTGAGAACCATGGAGTTGAGACAGCAGAGAAAGTGTACAAAGAAGCCACAGTCGAGCAAAACCCTATGGATCATCAGATTGTCTCCTAATGAGTAACCCAATGACCTTTCCACTCTCCCCAGAGGGACTCATGGGAGCAGACGGTGTCAGATGGTCTCAGCCAGCCAGAGCCCATGCCCGCCGACACCCTGCAGACCTTGCCACCCAGCACAAGCTGCCTCTCCCAGCTGGACCCTGGGAGCACTGCCCAGCACAGGGGCTCCAGCTGGGGTTCCTCCCTTGCTGGGGCCCAGTCCTACTCGCTGCATACGCTGGAGGATCTGCACCACACGCCGGGGTACCCGACCCCGCCTCCTTACCCCTTCACCCCTTTCATGACGGTGCCAAACGACCTCCCACCCAAGGTGCTGCCCATCTCCCCTGAGGAGGAGGCAGACACTGCTTCCCTTCAGGACCCTGCACCTTGGTCGAAAGACGATGGGAGCATTGCCTGGGGGTCGTATGAGTGCCGCAGAGCTTACTGATGGGTGGGCCAAGGACTGCCATGCTTCCCTTTAAGTTAGTTTCCGTATTCCACAGATGGTTGTAGGTGTGTCCGCTCATTCAGAACTGGATGTGCAGAACAAGCCACCGTGCCACCTTTCGTTAGTGGACGCTGGCATTTCTCTGCAAGCTTCCCCACCATAACCCCACAGAAATAAAACCAAATGTTAATTAAATACATCACGGACCACGTTCTAGTGAGACAATCTTACAGTGTGGTCTTTGGGGAACTTTGGTAACCCAGTATAATATGAACCTTCTGTTATCTTTGAAATATCATTTGGGGCACTGATTTTTTTTTCCTTAAATGACATTAAAAAGTTACGCAGATTGTAAACCATACTGATTTTCCTGTCCACTTTTTCTTAGTTGTGAACTATGTGTATTCTCTAGTGAAAGAGAATGAATTGGATATGATACACGTGTGGGCACATAAAACAAAAATCATTTTTACCACGTGACTTTAATGAGTGAAGTGTTTTATACATCTCCCTCATTGTAGTGACATGTAAAAGCCCAGTTAAAAAAAATTATATGTATATACACACATATATGGCACCATCTATAAATAATTAATTGTCCATAAAATAGAATGAGATCAGACCATGGCTTCATAAAGACATAGCTTTGTCTCTGCCCTAAAGCCCAACGTATCCCCAAATCAGTCCAATAAATACAACAAAAGCCAAAAGTTGTCTTTGATCTATGACAGCTTTAATCAAACAAGACATTGTCTCGCTGAAGGACTGAACCTACAGTTATCAAAGTGAGTAAAATGGGCATTCTGTGATCAAATAAGAATTTATGCATTTTAAAGAAAAAACAGAAAATAGAACTAAGCCATTGGGAAGAAATGACGGAACACCAAGAAACAAAAGGGCTTTGGAGAGGGACAGACTACCAGGTGTGAGCCAGCCCTTACACACAGCATCTCCCGACTATCTGAAGAAAGGCCTTGTTGGTGGGTCATTGGGCAGAAGTGTACAGCTCTTACCAGGGGTAAGAAACTGAAGCATGAACCCGCCTCATGTCAGGTTTGATTGATGTGGGTCCCCTTGCCAGTCAAGTTCCCAGCATGACTGCCAGTGCGTCTGTCTATGGCTAAGCCCATCATAACGCTTTGCACACACTTAGACCTTGCAGATGCTTGGACGAGGGCCCACGGTTATCCCTACACCCTTTCTCCTACCTCCTGACTGCCTTCCTTTCTTTACTCCCTTCTCACATATCTCTGGCCTCTCCTGACCCAGTGCCTTCTCCCTCCATCCTCTGGGGACTGAGGCTTCCATTTTCCAGCTGGTTGTCCAAAGCCCTTCACTCCCGTGCCCATCATGTCCTCTGTGACAGCTCCTATACTCTGAAAAATGCTCATACTCTTTGTATAGAAAACTGTAAAGCCTTCCACTATAAGGGATGAATCTCCAAAGCTAGTATTTTAGACAAAAGGGGGGGGGGTGATAACATTATTTCCAGAAATTCAAATAAGGGGATTAATTCACACTTAGACGTGGATAATTGTTATTTCTTCTTCTTGGGTCCTTCGAGGGTGTCTTTGGCTAAGCAAACTCATGCCCAATTGGTGGAGCGCCAGCAGCAGTGCTGGCTAGTGAGCCCTCCTCTCCCTCTCCCTTTCCCTCACCCCTCAGCTTCCTCAGGGGGGAGCAGGTGGGGACTGAGCACGTGTGGCAGCAGCAGCCAGGCTCCGCCCTACTTCCTCTTTCCCACCAGCTCTTCCCTGCAGCCTGATCTTGACTTTGCAAAATATCCACTACTCTTTAGTGAAAGATGGCGACATCCACTGCGGAAGATGGGAGCTGCTCTGTCTTAGTGCGACCTGGGCCTCATTCCTGCTTCCAGCCACCTGCCATTCAGCGGTTAGTCATACCTGGACAGCAGGCCCCTGCATCAGCAAGAAGAGATTTGGCCCCTCGATAGATTGTAAAGGTCTTTCTGAGGGTCTCAGAGTCATTATTCTAGGTTGGTGTTATAAAATTAGTAAAATTTTAATTAGTAAAATTATCATCCTCTACAAATGCTTCCTGTTTGCCTCTAAGCAGCAACAGTAAAGCCCTTCTAGATCGTAACCCATGTGCACATGACCTTAGCTTTCGGTTTGATTATAACCCTGAGTATTAGACACGCTCATATCTCTTATCATGTGGCCGTTATCTACTCACATATAAGTTCATTGATTTCTAACAACCTGAAGATGTCTTGGCTCTCAGATAAGGAGAGCTTAGCAGCCAGGCAGAGGAACAGAGGAAAGTGCCGTGAATACAATGGTATCTACAGTCTTCTAAAAGCCCCCGGTTCCTTTCATAAAGTTTGACTAAACTGATTCATTTAAAAAACAGACATCCACAAGCCCACACTGCAGGGACTATCTATGCCCACTATCTAGTCCAGAAGGCATTGGGGGGATAGGAGCAGTGTCGGTCACTTCAAATGGTAAATTATTTTAAGAATTCTTTTTATCTTGACAACCCACTTCTCGAACCCGTGCATTTTAATTTAATTCTATTTTAGTGTCTTGGGATACTTTCTTAAGAGTTTAAATCAAGCTACAAAATTATGACCCGGAAATGAATTCTATCTCCGGATCCAATTTCCCCTGCAAGTAACTCCTTATTTTCCACTGCGTGTGGATACTAGCCACGGCTTTCCATAGGAACGCACCTTACCGACCCACCCAAAGAATGCACAGCATCCTCTCCCTCTCATCTTTGAAATCTACTATTCCCAGACTCATAGCTTTTCAGAGGAAGCCAGAGAAAATTAAAGATCTTGGGTTCAACACTCCAGCTCTTTCAGGTCCTGCTGGGACACAGGACAGGTTATTTAAGATTTAAAGTATACAGAGATGGTGATGTCAAGTTCAAGCTACAAGATGATGATGTCAAGAAGCCCAAAGCAAAACTTGTCCGTGCAGAAGCTGCTCTGTAGACAATAGTCCTGTGAATCACTGCAGACAGACGTGGAATGTGTAACGGCTGAAAGAGTTTGTTGCTCTTACAACGTTATACAAACCCCAAAGAGTGAGAGGAGAAAACCACATCTTTACCTCACTTATTTAATAAATGCTTTGAAATGATCGTGACCACTTGCTACAGCTCAGTTTATAATACAACATCATGGTCCTATTGTGGTAGGAGAGAAAGACTTAAGGACTCTAAAGAAATTCCACAAAGGGAAAAGAATTACTAAGCCCAATAACAAAATATACATTTATACGCATACATACACACATATGCAGTATATAAATATTGTCGTATTCTTGTGATTCATTTTTCAAGAGGTATAAGAGCTGTTCAGAAAGTATCCAGCCATGTCATATGAAAAATAGACTTAGTTTATGGACAGCCCTTCTGGGTCTAAATAAGGAACAACACATCAGGTAAAGTACCAGCATAACAACTGATGTCAAAGGTTCAAGTTAGATTACATTACAATGATTCTACCAACCACACAGCGAAATTATACTCTCCACTGTAGGGCCTATCACTGGGTAATGTCTGAAGTGTCCTCTCTGTTCAAAACAGTATCAGGCTGTTCATCTTGTATAGCACATTCAATAACCATCGGCTGGAGAGAAGCTAAGTGCAAAATCATACACTCTAGATAAGGAGGAATCTCTAACTAGGAGACTCCAGGGGACGACTCGCGATTGTCTCACCTCTCTCTCTTTTGATGAAGAGAGAAAAAGAGCAGATTGTTTTGCTCTGTCCCCAGCACCAAGTTCTCAGGAAATCTTTGTTGGATTGAAAGGAAACTATACCATGAACATAAATACCTACGTAGCCCCTGATTCTGTGCATGACAGTTCTCTGAAACCAGTGTTGGAGAACATTCTCACTACGGTTAGTATTTATCACTGGCCGCACTGTCTGTATACTCACACAGTAGGAGGATATTGGGCTTGGGCAGTAATATATTTAAGACGATTCGGTATTCTTTAATGTCTTTATCTTTTTTCTTTAATGTCTTTAAAAAGAAAATTACCAACCCCCAGAAAAAATGTTGACATATTCATTTATTATCTACATGGACTATAACATACTGCTAAGAAGTCTTATAAATTAAAGTTATTCAGTGTTTGATATTATCTTCAGTGGGACTAAAGCATATATGATAAATAAATCAGGAACTAGAATCCTTAAAGGCCAAGCTAAAGTGTTCTTTTTTTTTTTTTTTTTTGAAGTTTTTGGCCAGGGCCAGGTTTGAACCCGCCACCCCCCATATATGGGGTTGGTGCCCTATTCCTTGAGCCACTGGCACCGCCCCTAAATAAAGTCTTCTATATTTGCAAATAATACACCATGTTACATTTGACCTTTTGGTAGAGAAATATCCTCTAAATAACCTCTGATAAATTAGACATGTGGGTTTGCAATCTCATTGTCACTTTACTACAAGAAAAAAGAACAGTAAAAAATGTTACAAGTTCCAAGAGGAAAAAAATGAGAAGCACATAAATAATATCCAGGAATTAGCTCCTTTACATTAGGAAAATTGATAGGCATCCCTGCTAAACTCCTCCCTAACCAAGTATCTTGAGTGGCATAATCCAAAGGTTTTCATACTTAATAAATTAACTTCATCCTAAATACAAGATCCCTGAACTATATTATTTCTTTACCTTGGTGATACAGTTACAGGTTTTCATCATGGTATTCTCAATGTATTTTTGTGTGCCTTAAATATTACATACTACAAATGATTTAAGTCATAAAAGATGAACTTTTAAAACAGTGAGCAATTTTTTTTTCTTATTTAAATTATGAAGTGCTTGCTTCCCATGAAAACCTCTTCAGGAAATGTTAAAACTTTGAGTATGTCTTATGAGACTAGACCGACTTAGCACAATTCAGCAGGTAAACTTCATCCAGTAGTCTTCATGGTCATTTTCACATGGACCGAATGTTCACTCTAGGACCCCAAAAGTAATTATTTCCTCCATGTGTTCAAGTTTTTGGAATTTGATATCTCCCACAAGGTTTGGTAACAGTGTCCCCAAGTCAAGGTGACAAAAGAAGTTTGCATTAACAAAGAGAACTCAGACCTGTAGTCAAATTGGAGAGAATAAACTACCCCATTTCCTGATGTTGAAAGTCTTTTAATGTGCACGTGTCTGCGTTTAATAAAATCTCCTACTTAGGGGGAAAATGACAGTGCCCCACAGTGTCACTGGCACACAAAAGACTGCCAAAGTTTTTCGATTAAAATATTCATTTTAAACCTTTAAAAGAAATCTGCTCTTTTCCTATCTTTCTGGGTACCGATTGACTTTAAGAAAGCCAATGACAAACAACATAGTTTCTGAGTTCAGTGGCCAGGAGAGACAGAAATCTGAAAAACTGTGCCATACAGAGGAACCAACGAAACTGTAGCTGATAAGACTCATGGGGTGGAAGATGGAGGTGGGGAGAGGACAGTGTCTTCCTCAGGCTGAGCACTGGACCCAGAGCAGACAACCAGTATAGGATTGTTGAAAGAATCAATGAATAAATAAACTAAACAGCAGTATGGGAGAACAGAGCAGTTAATCACAGAAACCTAAGGCTTGATACCAGGCCTAGTACACAGTCGGGCCCAATTAATGCCTACCTGGATTATGGCTCATTCACTGATCATAATATTTAAAGCTGTCTTAAACTGGACCAGACTGCCCTATAAATAGTGAGCTCCTGTTTCCTCCACACACAGTCTACGACGGGCCAGGATCTCTGCCAAGAAAAGGAGCCAGCGGCTGGACAACCACCACCAGAGACGTTGGGGAAAGGCTCTTAAGTCCCTGTCTGTATTTCAAAGACCCCTTCTAACATCAAGATCTTATGTTACATTTTCCAGCAAGTAAGCCTGTTGAAACCCCACAAGGTTTGTTTCTTATATTAAACCCCCCAGGAGATTATCAGGAATTCAGGGCAGACACCCCAGAGGTGCCAATGTCCCCAGGAAGAGGTCCCAGTCTGAGAAACACAAACTGTCATCAGCATAATCCACAGCTCACCCTTACTTCCAGGCAACCTCTTCCTTGGGGTTCTGGTGATTCCGGCCTTCACGGAATACTCTTAGTCTCCTCGCAAATACTAATGGTAAGCATATCCCAAAATACTTCCCCTGCATATCACAGAAACGTGTGTTTGCATATCTTACAGCCGGTGTTTTTCCAGTGCTACCCACAACTCATTAGTGGGCCATTAAATTAACTTAGTGACTCCCAACCACACATACTTTTCACAAATAGAATGAAATGGAAAAGCTGGGATGGACTCAAAGACACCAGAGTCCCTCACATACATGGCTGTACATAATGTTTGTCTCATAAATATGCTGTTACATATAGACAAGAATATGTAAAATGAATTTCTTATTGTAGGCTGATGTCCAAAAAGTTGGAAAGCTTCTGTTAATAAAAGAATAGGAAGCCAACCTTGATAGTTAAGAGCGAGGGCTTTGGAGTTAGACTTGAAAGTTTGAATCCCAATTCTGCCATTTATGTGCTCACTGCTCACCCTTCTGCACCTCTTTCCTCATCGGTGAAATGGGGACACTATACAATCCAGCACCTGCCATCCCAGAAACAGTAAGTGACAAACAGGCTTTAAGTCTTTTGGAACACCCAATTTTGGGGTACCCATGGCCTCAGGGTAGACAAGGCTGCTCCAGGCCCTCACTGTATGTTTGACTCTATAAGGAAGAGTCACAGGACCCACTGAGAAAGGACTGTCCCTTATCTTCACAAGCATGACATTCGGCTCTTAAGTGTCTGTGCTGGAGTGTTGTCAAAGAAACAACAGAAAAAAAAAAAAATTCTGAAAACAGGGCTTAGGTCTGGGCAAATCTAGCATGTACAGTTGCTAGCCAGCAATAGTGCTGGGTGTCCATCCCGGCAATGGAGGCCAATATAGACGCGCCCAAGACTGCTGTCATGATTCAGGCAGAGGCTACAGGAGGAAGGGACAAAGAGATCGCTGCTGTCCTTACAGATTCCATGACCTCCGAGGAGGAGCTCCCCTCTCACCCAGCCTTGCCTGCCTTCTGCACAGGGCGGCCGACCACGAGCATCAGCTTCAGTGATGTTGCCAGGGAACTCACAGCCTCCTGCCGCCCTGTCCATCCCCACGTGGAGCGAGAGGTCAGGAAGAAGAGGAAAGCACGAGACAGCACCCCCAGAACAGGGGGAATCAGAGACATGCAGGAACCAGGGAGATAAATAATAATGCAGACAAGAAAGGGACAGAAAGAGAGAGAGAGAGAAATGTGGGGAGATACACAGAAAGGACAGAGAGGAAGGTTTCTTAAAGCAAAACAAAAAGAATAAGAGCAAACTAGAAAGGATGAGACCTGAAAGGAAGTCGTGGAAGGAGCTGTGAGGACAAGAGCCTCCCGACTGGCCAGCTGCTCTGTCCACCGTGCCGTGGAGAAGGGGACACAGGGTGGGGAGCGGGAGCTTTCTCCTCTCCTCAGATCCGGTCCTCAGACCTGCCTTCCATCAGGGAAAACCAGGACACAAGCCCAGGGGCCTTTGGAGAAAGCGGCTCCAGAAGCTAATGGGTTCCAGCTGTGCTAGGAAAAAACACACCCCACCATCCCTCCACTCCCAGGTGCCACCTCAGATGTCCCGGCCCTGCTCTCCTACAGAAATGTGGTTTTTAGCTGCCAAGCAGTCGCTCCCATCAGTCCTGTCATTCGCAGAGATGCCCTTTCCCTGTGCTCTGGGTTCTACCCTCCATCCGACAACATTTAAGGACATTCAGGTTTTCTCTGGCAACCTTTAGGGCCAAACTGCACTTTTTGCATTTCATAAAAGCCAGAGAACAAAGAGCAGAGGGCCTTAACCTTCTGGGATGTCCTGGGACTATTTTAGCTTTCTATCTGTCTTCCCTTGCAAGGGCTTCAAGACAAGGTGGCCTGTCTCCCTCCCTGGACCATGGCTGTCTCCTCATCTTTCAAAGAGCAAGTGCTTGGAGAAGCTGACCCGGCACAGTCCCAAGGCACTGGAGAGGGGCTCAGGCCTGGACCACCAGGGCATCCTGACCTCAAATTCCTTCCACCTCTCACCCCAAAGTGAGAAGGCCTGAACCCAAATCCATATCCTTTCAGCTAAAATGAGCAGTGGGCAGCCTGTCACCATTTCCTAACGTGTGCTCCTACACCAAAAAGGCAGGGTGGCTTTAGAGCATAAACAGAGAGAAAAGGGAACTTCACAGCACAGTGATGAGACAGGAGTCAGAAAATCTCCAGAGGGAAGCTGGGTTTCCCTGCTGCATGGGCAGGCATTCTGTGCTGAGACCCCTGAGTGGGGGGCCTAGGAAGACGATGGAACGCAAAGCAGAGGGAGGCCCACACTGGGCCAAGTGGGGCCAGGAAGCAGGCACAGACAGAGCCCAGGCCTCGACTGGGCCTCTGGCCTGCTGCCTGGGCCCAGAGTGACTGCTTGCTGTGCCACACCCACTGGCTGCCATGTTCACTCCCCAAAACCTGAAATTTCCCCTTAAAACAGAGATCAGGGACGTGGGGATCAGTCTGGCCAGCTGCTCTGGCTCATGGGACCCTGGGGGGGCAGCCTACTTCACTCAGGGCTCCTGAGCTGCCCCTGAGGCTGAAACACGGAGCATCTTTGAGGACACCTGCTGTGTTTGAGCCAAGGTGGACAAAATGCTCAAAATACAGTAAAAGCAAGGGCCAGGACTCAAAGGGGGCTCACCCCCTGTTTGTCTGGACTGTCTCTGGGGTGCTTGTGTGCAGGATTTCTGCAGAAGATAGTCCATTTTGTTAAGCCTTTGAATATTCAAATTGAAAGTATCGCGCAATCATTGATTGTCAAATCATGGGTTTCTAGAGGTTTTAAATACTTGGCATGAGGGGGAAAAAACTCAAACCTATACCCGAAGGTATAAAACATTAATTCTGTTTGTCTCCTGCTCCAGGGACCTGGGTGCAGCCGGATGCTTTGTGAAACTTTAAAATGTTGCATCTCTGCTTCTCTCCTGGCACAGGAGCCCTCCCAGGCGCTGAGTCCCTGCAGCTACAGCATCCAGCCACCGACCCGGCTCCTGCTGACCACGATGTCGGGTAACTCGGCTGCTTCTCCAGGGGTCGGGTCACGCGAGCCCGGGGCATTTCAATCCGGGTGTATTCCCACAGCTTTTCCTGCATAGAACAGAGAGGCACAAAGTCAGGGCATGTGAGTAAGGGCTGGGGATCCCGACAGGGCACAGGCCACACCGTGGCCGCTCCCCTGGGCACCTGCTCCCGAGGGCAGAGGCCCCAAGGGCCGAGTCGGCCGCTCCGGACGCCCGCGTACCCCAGGCCCCTGCCCGCCCTCCACTTTTCCACTTTCGTGTGCTGGGACTTCGCCGCGCGAACCCTGCGCAACCAGAAGCGGCGGCGGGGGGAGCTAGAGGCTCACTGTGAGCCGGGCCGCGAGCCGAGAGCGCCGGCCGCGCAAAGCCGAGCGCGGGCGGTCCCTGTGCGGACCCCGAGGCGCGCCCGCTGCCCGCGGAGACCCGGAATGGGGTTTGGGGGGGAGGATGGAGCGCGGAGAGGACGCGGCGCCTGCGCCTGCGAGCCGGGCACAGGATTCTCCGGATCTGGGCGAGAAATAGCGCGACCCCCTTTCCAGGAGAGACCCCAGCTCTCGGGAGCCAGCCCGGGGGGCTCCCGCTGTCCAGCTGCGGTCCCCGCAGTGACCAGGCGAGGCGCTGGCTGCCTGGCACTGTCGCAGGCGCCCAGGCTGAACGCGCGGCCGCCCCCAGCCCCGGCGCCCAGCTCCTCCCCGCGCGATCCCGGGCGCTAGCTCCGGGGTCGAGGTCAGGGCCAGGGCCGGGGCCGCTCTGGGCTCCGCGGCGGCCACCCCCACGGCGAAAGCTCATTGGTCGGCTCGGCCTCACAGCTGTCCGACCTACTCACTGCGGCTCTTCCGGGCGGGGGCCGGGGTGCCCCCCTCCCGCCGCGCAGGGGTCCCTCCCCGCGGACCCCTCGGGCGCGCGCCGGCGACCCCCACGAGCCGGGGCGGTCGGGCTCGGCCCCGCCAGCCCGGAGGCCCTTCCCGGAGGCGGCCTCCCAGCGGAGCGCAGTTAGTCGGGAGCCAGGGACGGCTTTCCCCGAGCTCGCCAGGCTGCTCCGCGGAGAAACGCCCGCACCACAAAGGGAGGGGAAGAGAGGAGAGCTGAAGAAGGGGCGAAAGAGGGAGGAGGGAAGGATGGAGCGCGGGAAAGGCGGAGAAACAGGGCGAGGGAGCGGCGGCAGAAGGAAAGACAGAGGGAGGCAGGGAGGGAGTTCCTCGGGCCGAGCTCCTGTACTAGGGTCAGCCTGACAAAGCCCTCTGCTTGAGGGCCCAGGACAGGGCTGGCCAAACCCCGCCGCTCGCCCCGGGGCTGGCTTCCAGACCAAGGACGGGTAGAGGTCGGATCCTCCCCAGAAGCCACGCCTGTCGTAGTGGAGAAGGAAGGGACTGGGAATTTCACACCTGCAGGAACATCGTGGTCGGGTGGGCCTGTCTGCTGCTCTGGACAGAGAGCGCCCCTGGTCCGGCGCCCGGTCCCTCCCCAGGTCCAAAACACCCTCCCCCAGGCCAGCAGCCTGGGCCTAGAACCCCAGGTTCCCCGACTTGCTTAGCCAAAGTGGTGATCTCCCCTGGCCTGAGACCTCCAGATTCCTGAGCAGAAACACCGGGGCGCTGCTGGTGTGGGCCTGGGCCCAGCACCTTCCCCACTGAGGCCCTGACCGTGCTCAGCCTCCCTTCACCGGTCACATTGGAGAGATTGTTATGGAGGGCTGGAGGGGGGGTGCTGTCTTTTAGCATCTGTGTTCTCCAAACCTAGAAACTTAGCTTCAGCTGAATTAGCCTGTGAAGGCCTCCCCCCACTCCACAACCTGACACCCAAACCTTAGACTCGACCACTGACCCAGTTGCCTTTCCCCAGAAAAACCGAAGGTGTATCAAGGTGTCCGCGTGAAGATCACGGTGAAGGAGCTGCTGCAGCAGAGGCGGGCACACCAGGCGGCCTCGAGGGCAACCGTAAGCGTAAGCGAACGCCCTTGCTCACTGCCCAGCCCCGGACAGGCCCTGGCAGCCCACCCACCCCCCATCCCCAAACCTGGCCCTCCTCCACTGTTCGGTGCCAACTTCCTTTCAGTTAACCAGGGGAAGCTCCAGAGACACCTGGGGCATGTTGTGGGGCGCAGGATTTGGGGGAGCCCATCACCCATGATCAAAGTTATGAAAGGTTTGTTGGTCCTCTGCAGGGAGAAGAATGACCAGCAGGTGAGTGAGTTTTTATTGTGTTAGGAAGACAGGGTGTACAGCCCTCACATACCCACAAAAAATCTCTCCCAGAAAGTCACCACATTCTTCTGGAAATCAGCCTCTGAGATCATTTTTCTGTCAATCGCCAGTCACTAAAATTCCCCAGCAGAAAAGGGCCATATCTCCACCGGGGAGGCAACTCAGAGTAGAGAACCACTTCCTAAAGATGTAACAACACTTTACCTGGTTCCAGGTTATGAAAGAATTGAACTAGGCAGTCATAAGGATTCCCTGAAACTTTATACACCTCTCTAAAGCAGATGAGTCCTGTCCAGGGCACTCAGGGAGGGGCCGTCTGTGGAACAACCAAATAAACAAGGTGAGGTTGTCCCCCAGGAGAGGCCAGCTCATCACTGAAAGCCCTGGATGGTACAGTTGCTTGGGGGTTGATTTGGGTGCTAATGTAGGATCTGACAGTGGGGGCTTATGTTGCCTATGTGAGGATAGGTCCTTCTCCCCACTTCTGCCCCACAACAGTCTCTGTGCCTGGTGCTGTTTGTGTGCGGTATCCAACTTCATGAAATGGGAGGTGAAAGATGTAGGGGTGGTAAACAGACATTCCAGAACCAGATGGACTGGGTTCGGATCTCAGCTGGCCCCTGCTTGGCCCTTAAGCAAAGTATTCCATCTCTCTTGCCTATTTCCTCATTTTAAGTTGGGGACATAGGATTTAAGGTGGGTTAATTGAGCTGTTGCTTACAAAGCTCTTAGAAGAATGCTTTCCATATAGTGCTCAATAAATGTCAACTGTCATTATTTATCATTTGGGAAAAGCAACAAAAATAAAATTCCAGTCAAGGATCGTGAAAGCCAGCTAGTGAGTAGTACTCATGCACACCCTCTGCTCAGAGTTTGGGGGTTGATTTGGGTACAAATGTAGGATCTGTTCCTACGTCATTCAGGTGTGAGCTTGCTGTGATTTGGCACATACAGCTGGAGAAGTTAGTACCTCCAGGTGCAGAATTGCAGGTAATACAATAAAACCTCCTTAACATCTGTAGAGGGCTTTAAATGGCTCTTCTTTTAAAGCACTTATGTACACTCATTATTTCACTTAGTTCTTAGTAAGCCAGCAAAAGTAAGTAGATCAGGGATCTGTATACCTCTACTACAACTAAAATTCAAAGTCTTGCAGGTGCTAATCATAAAGCTAAAAATAGGATCTTCTTATTCTTAGTATAAAAACCCTTCCCACTTATTGGTTCCCTAACCTCATCTTTCTACAGATCTGACCACATTAAGCAGTAGTTTAGTAGTAGCCTTGAGCCAAGAGATAGTTATATACTTAATAAAACCAGGTACAAGAGAACTGGAAAATGCTTCTGGAGGAGAAAAAAAACAACTCTTAACGATGTTCATACCAATTCATCTTTCTGCTTCAGCAGAATGCAACCCTGAGAAGTTGCATTTGGGCACGGAAACTCTGCTGCTGGGCCCTTACAGATTAGTTTGGCCACTGTTCCCTTGTTAGCTAAAATAAGGGTAAAAGATTTTACTTGGATATCTAACTAGTTTCTGTTTCCTAGAGCAGTTTGACTTATCTAAAATTTTTTGAAACAAAGCAGGAATTCTGAACCAATTCCTCGTAGGTATAGGCAGAGCCTACTCTATTCTGCTCCCTGGAAGCCTGTTTGGGCCCAGGCCCTCCCAAGCTAGTAGGAGCAACACCCATGTAACTGATTTATAGGAGCCAGATGTAAAGCTCCTCACCAGGAGCCATCAGAAGGATCTGGGATTCTAGGAAAGCTGTGGTAGTATACTCAGTAGGCAAGGGAGGCAGATACCAGGGGATCATTTACACCTGCTCCTTAGTGTAGAGCAGGCGTCCTCAAACTACGGCCCGCAGGTCACATGCAGCCCATCTAAGACATTTATCCGGCCCTCTGGGTGTTTTTGCCGCCACTGCCTGTCTTGCTTAGCAGCCGACTCGTCCTGGGGCCCACAGTCCAGCCCTCCAACTGTCTGAGGGACAGTGAACTGGCCCCTGTTTAAAAAGTTTGAGGACCCCTGGTGTAGAGGTCTCTCCTTTAAAAGAGAGGATTCCAGTTTATTCAGTGATTGAAAAATACCTCTGGGAAACTTTAAGCCTAAGATAGAGTTAATTATCTCAAATACTACAAAGAAGGAAGAAATCCCTAACTTGTCACAAAGTCAGAGTAGGACCTACAATCTGAAATTTTAAGAAGACAGTCATGAGTGGAAGTTACAGATTGAGACAAATACCCAAGTTTCAAGCAGTGCCAGGAAAAAATGGGGTGCATGCCAGACTGGAGAATTTGATTTTGAAAAACTTATTTCAGCCAGATCAATTTGCAAACACACAGACAGACACATACACAAGCACACACTTTTTTTTTTTTTTTTTGCCTTTAGGGCAAAGGGAGACTTGAGTTAGTATTTATCAAAAGATATAATCTACCTTTTTTGTTAAAACCATTATTTTTTTTCAATAGCCTTGATGTGTTTTTATGAATTATAGATTGCGGATTTTTTTTAATGCTGTTTGAAATCTAAGAGAGAGATGCCTTTCTTTGTATTCTTGGAGCCAAGTAGAAAGTGAACCCATGACTAGAAAGATAAAATCAAGTAGGATATTGTAAACATACCTCAGGGAGATAACAAGGGAGGCAGAAAAACAAGCCAATCAGGGGAGGAGTAGGGTTAATGAGATCTCTACAATGAAGCAGATTTTTTAAAACCCACTCCTTCCAAGTCCTTGAGCTCAAGCTGCAGCCAAATATTTGCATAAAGAGCTGGTAAAGGATTCCAGCTTCCTGGTTCATGACATTACAGCATGGATCATTTTCAAAATTTACACCGCCTCCTGTTTCAGCACGGGCTGGCTGTAGAGCTCTCCCAGTGAGCGCGGCTCAGTGTGCCATTGACTACCCCCTGTAACCCAAGAGCGGTGTGGTGAGCTCGGCTTCCCAGCACAGAATCACAGACAAACAACGCTGGTCCCTTTAAACTTTAAAGCCACCACCTGAAATTGAAAAAAAAAAAAATAAAGTTTAAATTCTTCAGTTAGTATAATTATTCATTCTGCTGGAAAATGCAGGCTGCTCTGCTTTAAGTAGTCAGAAGGAGCAGTCTTATAAACTTGAAGAATATAAATACAGTAGCGAAAAAAGCAACTTTTATAGAAAATACTAAAAGACTTACAAAGAATGGAAATAGTCCCTGGCCATTCATGAGAATGTAGGTAGGCTATGACTTACCAATTACAACCTTAAGATAGTATTTTATATTTTAATATTTCACTTATAGTAAGAACATGTGAATTTTTTTAGCAACTCAGGGATAACAAAGTTAGAAATTGTGTCCTTTGGGGGAAACAGTTTCTAAGGCTACATAGCCAGATGGTATAGGAAAATTTTGAGGGAAATAATTGACTAAGTTATATCTGAGATTAAATCCATATTAGTCCTTAATAATTTTAAATTAAATCGTTTAATAGGCTCTTTGCTGAGTTTTCTAGAAGTGTCACACTGCTATAACATAAAAATTATTTATATTAATTCTTATCAAAACTAATAACCTTTAAATTTTAAGTGGGGGAATCTGATATTAGAAAAAAGTTCTCAAGCAAGCAAACATAAAAATTGAATCTAAATCAAATATAGCATGGGTTGTAGTTAACGAAGGCAATTTGTTGAGAAGAAAGAAAGAATCTGGCTTACCTTAGAGCAGAGGGAAACACCGTTCCCGTCAGAAGGTCTTAGATTTTCCTTTAGAGAACTTGCATTTCACTTAGTTCATGGTGATATTCTTGCTTTGACAGCTGTCTGGAAGCAGCAGTATCCACCTTTCAGACCCCATTGCACCGTCTTCTGCAGGTCAGTACAGCCAGCAGTGCAATTCCCTCAAAAACTCTTGCAAAAGTCCATCTCGAAAGACTCCAGTGCTTGATTCGGGGGTTAAGATAGGCACCACCATTTAATTGGAATCCAACCAATCAGAAGGTGAAAAAGGCATAGCCACTCCAGATGCCAGCCTAGCAAGGAAGCAAGTGCAAATTTGTGTTCTCACGTCTGAACTCTCTATTCTCTGCTATCTATTTTGTTCCAAGAGTTTGTTTTTCACGTTGCCTCTAGTTCCCCATCTGAATAACTAAACTTTACTTTAAAAAAATAATAATAATAACAGAATTGTTCTCCAAAATTTATCTTTTTTTAGTGTACTATTAGATGGAATACAGATCATCCGGAGACATTAGAATACTGCTTTACCTCTGTGCCTTTAGCTCCCAGCCCACAGGGGCTTCCCTCCCCTTCCCTCTCTCTTCCCAGAGAGCAGTTCAAACAAGTGTAAGTTTTCTCAGCCCTACGTGAATAACTCTATTACATAAACACTCCTACCTATGCAACTCAACAGCTAAGAGTTTAAGGAGGCTGCGTATCAGGAAACCTCTGCTATGGTTGCGTTCCACCAAATACATCACTTTGGCTTAACCTGAAGGGAACTTGAGACATTAAAAAAAAAAAATCACCACCCAGGTCCTGCAGTGTCTTTGATAGGCATACTCTAAACCTCTCTTCTCTGAGCATTTAAGGATAAGTATCACAAAGCAGGCCTCTTAGTAGTCAACTGGGAAAGGAGTAACGTTTTCCAAATTATTCTTGTTTGGTATTTAACAGCCTAAACTTGAATGACGTTATTACATTTACACGCTCACTAAGAAAACATTTTTGCGTGCTGCCATTTAGAGCAGGTGGTTACTGACCAGCACACTGGCCTCCGGTGCCATGTGTATCGTTTGTGTTGCCATTTAGAAGGCTTGTCAGAAGGAACTCTCTCAAAAGTGAAGTTACCGAGTCATGGTGAAAAGTTTAGGAAAGCAGTCACCCCAAATCAAGAGAATTATTTCCTGCGGCCTCAAAAGTTTTCCCAAAGCCTCCAAGAACTCTTGGCAGTTACCTCTGGGAGGGTTACTTGAACTGAGGATAGGGGCTAGATGGTGACGGGTTTCTAGTCCAGGAAAGCAGAAGCTTGAGCCATTATTTAACTGTGACAAGTGGGCACAGGTGGGTTTTGCCTTAGCCACATTTATAGCCAAGTCCCACATCATTAACCAGATTCATTCCCCCTGGGACTTGCATTGTCTGGGACAACTAAAAAGTCCAGATTGCCTTCCTGTTTACTTTTCTGGAACTTCTTAAGCCCCCCCTTTCCCCTAGGCATAGGAATTATTCAGGAAGATAACACTCTAAATCTGTCAGGGCCATTTTTATACAAAAAGATGCCTTTTCCTTTCTCCTCTAGGACTGTATTTTGAACCTGAACCGATTTCGTCCACGCCCAGTTATTTTCATCCCCGAGAATTTTCCAGCTGTGTTTCCTGTGAAGACAGCCCAAGCTGCCTGGACCAGATCTTGGACTCTTACCTTCAGTCTGAGACGCACCCTGAGCTCAGTTCCACACAGAGTGTCCCGCACTGTTTCCCAGACAGCTTGCAGCCTTCCCCCTTCTGCTTCAACGAGAGCCTGGTAATTGATCTCAGTTCTTTGCAGTATAACGCGACTGTCACAAAACATGGGGTTGTAATGGCTTTGTTAGTGAGTTTGCTTCCTCTGGTGAGAATCCATACAATGAGGAAATCATCTGAAAAAAACAAGTAAAGAACCAGTAAGTAGCCACATGTGGAGGGGGCCGCAGGATGAGGAAGACAAACTTTTAAGGACACACGTGTCACTTTGATTTTCAAAGTAGGTGCCCGCCAAGCAAGTTGGTGTGTGGCAGCAGAAAGGAGGTGCCAGGCAATATTCCTTTAATGCTTTTTAAACTGTGAAATTAAGGCTTCTAACTAGTCACTGGTTTCGATAATTGCCCTTGGATTTTTGAGTCCTTGAAAATGGAATTAACACTGTGTCTGCCTAATACCAAACTTAATTCTGAGAGAGGGGTTTCCGTTTTGTTTTGTCGTTGAACTCGCTCTACTAACTAGTTGTTGGGATCCGCTTTCGGCCCCAGAACTCAGCTGGGTCTGAGATGGTTAGTATGAGTGAAGTGCTCCTCGTTGAAAGAATTTGAATCGTCTGCTCTTGATGGGTCGCCAAGGTTCACACCTGTGTTATCCTTAAAAATGAAGTAAGGTGTCAGTGAGTGGACCCCAGTTATTTTAGATGTCTTTCAGAGACTCACCTTCTTTTTTTTTAACCTTAAAATGTAAAATTGTTCTAAGAATTTTTTTTTTTTTTGGACTGTCAAAAGTCAGTGTTGGCCTCAGGCTACATGTCAGAGGGGATGGGAAATGAATGCTGCAGAATGATCACTTTGTCACAAGGAAAATTCGGGGCTGCAATGACTCCGTTCCCTGTCAGCTTCCAAGCGAGGCTTTCTCGTAGATTTGCTTAAGAGAAAGCAGATAGTACCACCGGGGGGGG